TGTACTTTAGTCTATGTAAAAATAGTTCAAACATTGAAAAACAGTTAAAAATTTCACGCACCAGCGCATGAAAACTGAATTCAAAACATTGAAGCATATTCACTATTTACCCTATTCACCCTTTTCGTGATTACCGAGATAATAGTTTGCCCGTAAAAACTTTCACTATCACCCGAGAGCGCGGGAACGCTGAATTTGAATGGGCAAGGTTGAGCGTGGGCAGGGGGGCCATCACCCTAAAATTCCAGCCTCCTAGACTCCGTGGTTCCTGAGATATTGATTTACCCACAAAAAAATTTCACGAGGCCGTACGAGTTACCCGCGGGTACGGGAAGGCTGAATTTAAATTTGCCGCGTCACCCGTTGGCTGGGAACACTGTACTGAAATTTCAGCCGTCTAGCTTTTGTGGTTCACAAGTTGAAAGTGCGGGACAAAATGTAGGACACACACACACAACCCCGTGACAATATGCATTTTGTACTGCTCCTACACAGCACAAAACGCACAAAATAGAATCACGAAACATTCGCGAGCACAAACATCCGGACATCCCAGAATACACCACCCGTACGCCCTCAACACACACACACCCACATCCAACACACCCCCGCCTCAAACCACGAAACCAACCACAACCGCGCAGCCCAGCAATTCTCCATCCTCCGCTCATCCTGACAAATCAATATCCGGAGGATGTGCAGGTTATCACGATCTATAACAGCACTCCGGCGCAAGCGCGCTTTTGAAAGGTGGTAATCATAAGCCGGGCCCGGGTCCCCCGGGGGCCACCGGGAGTTCCCGAGGTGTGCGTGGGTGGGTTCAGGTGGGCGGGGCCAAGGATCCTCCACCCCTCCTCCTCTTCCCCCTCCCTCCACTCCCACCAGCGACACAGACGTCAATGCAGTAAAAATCCAGGTCTGTTCATAAATAATACTAAAATAGCTCAAAGTAGGCTAGTTTTTGCGTGGTTCCAGGATGGGAGGGTCTTCCTCCCTTTCCATCGTCATGTCTGAAAATCCTCTTGGAATCTCCAGAATGACTTGTGGGAAGTACTGTTACACCCAGTCCCGAGCTATCCTGGAAATTCAGGGTGGGAAAGAGGAGTATCTCCGATTTCAGGTACCTTGAAAATTTTGCTGGGAATATCCCCGCACTCGGTTTCGGGTCATCTTGGGGTGCTTCTGTAGCCACTCTCAGGTTACTCTGAAAGTTCTGCGGGAAATATCTGTTCCTTAAATTCGGAGATCTGCCCTAGAATACGTGGAACCGGGTTATCCCTGTCTCGGACCGTCGGGAGATATATGTGGATGATTCAACAGCGATGCCTCCTCCCCTCCCACTTTTTCTACGGTATATGAGCGCATCTAATTACACAAGGGAAAACCGCTGAAACACCATGGATCCAGGAATTTACCACATAGAGAAACAAAAAGCTATGCATGCCGCCAGAAACAGGCAACGAAGGCGAGCGGGGCGAGGGAGGGGAGAAGTGCAGCCACGGTCATGCGTTTTTGCGGTAAATTGCTGCGGGTACCCGGTTTGTGGTGAACTTGCTATTCCACACTTTCAATATCAACCGGGAACCGTGGTTTTAATGCTCCTCACTCCCTCCCCCTCCCTCTCCTCCCTTCCCCATCCCACTCCCCCCTTCCCCCCATCACAAGATACCTAAAAATCCGGAAATTCAAATTTTTAGTCTGCCCTGTTTTGGAATTTCAAAATCTTGTCGAGATTTAAGCCCGAGGTCACAGATCAGGATAGAAATGAGGTTTTGCAACTAATTCCATGATATTCATATCAAATTTAACAAAATTTCAGTTAAAATTTTTAAATTTTTCATTCCCAAGTACTTTTTTTTTGCTCTTCAACATGAACAAAACGCATGCATAAAAAGTCGTCTGGATTTGGTCCTGAAAACCACAGATGCAATGAATTTCTGAAATCTATTCTCCAATACTGAACTGAATTAAGCAAAAAATTCCCCGCCCGTTACCGACTTGAAGAGTTACCCCCGAATTTTGGTTCGAGTGTTTGTATTAGGCGAAAAATTTTCCTTCCTGTTGCCAACTTGAGAGTTTACCCCGGATCCGAACTTGCGGATCGAAACGCAGAAAAACGGTGATCGTTGAATTTTGCCTACATTCTTGCCTATAAATTGGAAACACGCCGTCAGTGATAAAATTACCAGACAAATTGTTCAAACAAAATAGCTGTTGTGACAACAGGACTGGAACTCCGAGACGAATCAGCAGGCGACGACCGTGCGTTGTAGCAGAAAGCAGAAGCAATGAATTAGTTGAGGTATGTCCGTGGTTTATATATATAGAAATGAATTAGCATAGATGAGTGAATTAGCGCTACAACAGTCATATTGACAAGGTCCAGTCGTGGGAAGCCAAGCAAGGGATAGTACGCAACCTTACCACATTGCTAAATTTTTTACAAAGATTGAAAATCGAGCGAATTAACGCTTTCCCAAATATCATCTGCGCGAAAACAGTCCGCAACTCGGTATCTCGAATAGTCTCAGGTTCCCTCTCTTTTCCACATTGTGCATTTGGGTTTTTATGCATTTTTACATATATGCAAAAACACATATTGTGACGACTCCTCTGTGTGTATTTTTTTTGTGTGTTGTGTGCGTGTATGCGTGTGTATGTATGTATGCATGTGTGTGCGCATGCACGCCTGTCCGGGTATTTCAAATCAGCAACCAAGCAAGGTCCGGCGCCAAAATTCTGCCAGTGAGTCCCCCTGACCAAGTGCCATCGCAGGACCGCGGTACCAACCTTCATGCACATCTAGGCCTCGCGTGTGAGCGCACAAAAGTTTTGGCGGGGAAATCGCTAATTCGAAAACCAGAAGAGCTAGAAAGCTGAAACTTTGAGGGGATGTCCTTTGAGCAAGTACCACGCAGTTGCACAATTAACTTTCTGAATTTCGAGGACAATACGTCATAAGTTCTGCCTACCGGGATTCCACGCGATCTTACAACAGCACGAAATATTGCAAAAATGCATGATCACACGGGGCCGTCTACTGCGCGTCGTCAATGATTTTTTTTCTTTTGTAAGAAAACACGTAAAAGAAGTCATTTTTTTCAGATGATATTACAACTTCACATTACATACGTATCATTCAATGCATAGTAATTATATTCAAATAGTTATAAATGCGCCTAGAAAAATGATCACATCAATCAGCACTGTTTCGTCCTCCCTGCACTGGACGGTTCTCTTACTTCTTGCACAAATTTTTCTGGATTTTTGAATTTTGAACATAATTTCGAGTAGATCAAAGCAAATCAAACCCCGTTCAGCATTACACACACACAATGGGAAAGAAGTTGTAATTAAAGTCAAAATTTTCCAACAATTTTTTTCACTTCTAAATTAGTATTGCAACCGTCGTACTGACAAGGTCCAGTTGCAGTGATGAGTCAAAATGCTTAGAACTTAATAGAGCGACAAGTTTTACCATCCTCTCTCCCCTCCCTCCCCCTTCGCCCCTACGTTTTCATTTCGCCTTCCTCCTCCTTTACCCTTCCTTATTCTCGTCCTTCTTTTCTTGATTCTCCCAGTTAGTTCATAGCCTCAGAACAGGCTCTTTAAAATAGACTAAAAGCTAGTAATTCTAATTTCTCAGGTCCAAGTAAGTAATATCAAAAAATCACTTCTTCTGAGTATCGACAACTTTACCAGCGTGTGATTTCTCTTGGAAAGTGCTACCACTCGAGCTGCTTTCCACACTGCCCCTTGCCTCTCGCTGAATGTGAAACGTGAGGGAGGGGAGGAGGAAGGGTGGGAGGGGAGGGAAAATTCTGACAACTTTATCTTAAGCTTTTCCCTTACTAACCTCACGTACTGAGTTTCGGACGTAACAGTGCTAATTTTTGAAAAACAAAAGAAAAACAAAAAATGAAAAAAAAACCAACACGAAAAGAATGAAAGAAATGAAAATTATTGCAAAAGAAAAAAAAAGACAAGAGAAAATTTTAAAAAAGCATGAAACTATGAATTATTATTTCAAAACCATGAAAAAAAAAATCATGAAAACATATACATTTTGCAATATTCATTTATCCAATTGAGCAAATCGAGGTTTTAGTGAACAAGTTAGGAATAAGGAACATGTTGTATTGCTCAGCGGCACAATTATATATTGGCCATCATTAAAAAAATACAGCATTACTTTCTTCGGACATCTGACCAATTCATCAATCGACCAGTAATTCGTCTTATATCATATCGACTACTGGTTTCTGGCCCGCAAAAATACCATGCCGCAGCTTGAGGGGGGATTTCTTGAGCGGTCGAAAAAGAGTAAAATCAGTGACCAGTCTCTAGGTTCATCAAAAAAAGCGATCAAAAAATGCATATCCTGTGCTGTTTTTGTCAAAAAATATTTGCCGGAGAAGCATAAAGCTGAAGTGTTTTTCACAGCTTACGACGACCCATCAACGTGGAAGAAAAAGTCCCCTCTGCTTCTACAGAATTCGCGGCTGAAGTTAGAAGTTTTCGCAGCTTCTTGGAAATGAAGACATGGAAAGTTGAAAAAACCCTCCCTTGAGCAGGCCAGGATGACCTGAGATTCCAGAAGTCCAGTGCAGATAAGCTTATCAAAAACAAAAGCTGAAAATCCTCTACATTTTTCTCCTCTCCCGTCCCCTTCCCCCACCCCCCTTCCGCCTCCTCCCCTTCACGAGAAGCATTGGTAGTTTGAATTCATTCGTAAGGAAATACCATCTATTTTTTGGTAAGACGATTATCGTCGGCTTCTTTTCCCCCTAGAAATAAGCTAAATGTATTTTTTGATTTTCACGACATGCCTTAGTACCAATTTACCATCGAAATATGAATGAATGAACAAATTTCCGGAGAGACTGATTGTCCTACGGGCGGGGTTGGAAGGTAAACAAAATATGAAAAAATATGGAGTTGCACAAGCACAAGAAAATACACGATAACCACAAATGAGATGACCACTGGACGACAAAAAAAAAAACAATCATCCGAGAGTGAAGGCAATTAGCAGCAACCTGCGTTCAAAAAAATGCATAGCAGAGTGTTGAACAAATCGTTCTGAAGTCAAAAAAAAAGAACATATAAAAGTGATTTAAAATGCTATTAAATGCAACATATCCAGAAACTCCAATAAGTTCCAGTTCTCCTGGAAGATTACCTCAAAAACGCCAGGGCTCTTCCTGGGAAGTGTCATCTCCGAAATGAAATACCAAGATTGTAAGGGCAATAATCAGTGTGGGATATCCCATGTTAGTGACAAAACTGCTCACAGACCCGGCCATAACTAAAATCCTAAGCTGCATACAGCCAGTATTCG